GCCCCACCACCCTGAAATTTGTGTTTTCAAACAAAAGTTTTCACCCCGTTCTCCAGAAATCCAATCAGTAAGGAAAATTTACAGGATTTTTTTTCCCCTGAAAAGCCGTGGAACAAATAAAGTGCCATTGCTCCAGACGAGTTAATAATTACACGGGCTTTGCAAACACCGTTGCCAATAGTCATAGTTTTGCAGAGCACAACCTCTATGTGGACAAACGCCACAGTGAGTGAAACAGCCGTGCGGCAGCGTGCTCTCCCTCCGTGTGCTGCTCAAGGCCATCGCAGGTCGGCAAAATCCCTCCCTGGGTGCACCCTTTGGCCTTTGCAAGCCAAGACCCATCACATGTTGAAACCAGACAGTTTCACATGAAAAGAGAAGTCCTGGTTCAAGTCTACGTTTTTAATGTTTTGCTTCATTCCACATTCAAACGTGTCCAACATCTAACGGCAAACAGGTTGAACTGAGCACAGCTACAGCTCTTCACACCAAATACACACTTCTAACGTGTGATCTCAGTAGCCTTCTTCCAAACTTTTTTAAGATGGGCACTTGCAATGAAGTCAAGACTCGTGTCATCCCTGCCTTTAGCACTGACAAGTGCTGCCAAACTGTTCCCTCGATGGTGACCAGCTGCTGTCTCATAGGTTATACTTAGACGAAACGCTTTTTGAGGGACAACCTGCCTCTTGCCCTATTATTTGTGTATTGGCACATACTGGTGTAATTGGTGATTAGCACAATGGCTGTCCTTGGCTAGGATCTGAGCCAATGTCATAATGTGTATAAATAATAATCCCACCAGTCTTGTTTTCAAATCTGCAGTTATAAAACACCATGGATCATAGACACAGTGACTTGTCGCAAATTACACAAGTGTCTCTGGCAAAGCACAGAAATTGACTGTGGTCTCCCATCTCCTGCTGCTGTAAGCAAATCTCTGGAAACCATCATTGGTTTCTAGTCTGAAAATTGAGGAAGGATCTGCAACATTAAGGGCTGATGACTGGGGCACTTAAAACAAGGCTGTTCTTTAAAAGGAAAGATCCAAGAAGTATCTTCAGACCTAACCCACATCAGGACAATCAGACTGAAATCAGAGAAGAATGTTAGCCAATGCCACAAGCAAGCAAGTATCCGGACAGCCACAGTTGTTTGGCCTACTGTAGAAAAAATATTTACAGACTTTGTCAATAAAATCAAAGCCAACAATGGTCATCTGCTTCAGGGTCAAACCTTCCACTGGTTTATGCGGCATTTTGTTCTGTATACAAATATAACCCCACCATGGCCTCTAATGACTGGACTATTTGAGAGGTTTATGTAGAACCTCGGGGAATAAAACCCCTAAAAATACCCTATCCTTGGGCAAATGGACATTTGCATCCTCTCTGTATTGCCCATATTGCAGTGTGTAGGCTACTTCAAAATCTGTACCAGAGATTATGTTCACCAAGCATTGCCCATAAGGGAAAGATTTCTAAGTGTACATATTAGTTCTGCTCAACCTTTATCAAAAAGCCTCTTCCGTTAAAGTTTTGGTTTTAGCCCCTTAGGAAAGGTTAGAGAGTCCTGAGTATAAATGATGTAAAATAATAAGTACTGAACCAATTTTGGCACCAGCAGTAGTTGGTGGGTTAAATGAGTACTTGATTCGAGGCCCCATTAGGTGCTGACACATTTACAAGCCACACTTTATTACCAAACAGACGGGGAATTTGGCAGTAGAGAAGTCTGAATCTGTTCAAGGCCAGTAAAGCAAATACATTCCTTCTATCCTCATCTCCTTTAAGACTATAACTGCCACAGTCTGGCTTTCTCATGAAAATGTACAAACTGGAATACGAACTCAAAGGAGACAAGAACTCTTACCAGCAGTCTGGCACAACTCTCTGGTACGTCTTGGGGGGGTCTCACAGCCAAACCTCATTTGTTTTCTGTGAGCCAATGGGATACCAGAGCAACAGGATTTCCAGTGCGGAATGTTACCTCGGAGTCGGAAGGTGCAGGTGAGGTCACAGAAGGGTGTCAGTGGCAGGACAGGGGGAAGGGGTGGCCACAGGCTCTGCAGGGCTTTCTTGTGATACCCAGCCAGCCCCTACAGCGGGATTCTCCCATTCAGAAGCAATATAAATCAAGAACATAGATCTTACAAATGGCACCATTCCTCCTGGAGATTTTTAGATTGTAGCACAAATGCTGTGCTTTTTGTGTGTAGGTATAAGGACCTTACAGGGTCTAGGAGATGGCTGTGAACTACTCGTCTGCAGAAGAAAAAGACCAAATGAACCCACAGCTGGCTGGTAGTGACATGGAGAATGAGTCTGAGAAGGATGCAGGTGTGGTGTTTAGTTACTAGAAAACTCACTTCATAAACAGAAATGGCCAAAGAAAAACCACCAGTACCCAAGAGGGACTGCTCTTGCTGCAGCCTGGTCACCAGGTGGGAAGACTTCCCTTCCCCGGGCCAGACAGCAATGAGGAGAAAAGGGGACAAACAACCATCCAGGGTGCCAGTGCCCTCAGAGGGCAGCTGCTATCTGGAAAAAACAAAATGTATCAGCTACAGGGCACCGTCACCCAGCTGCCCTAACGCCCACAGGAGATGTCAGAGCTCAGCACCTCGTGAGAGCAGATCCTGTTTGAGCCGTCCATCACCCAGAGGGACAGGTAGGGCGGGAGGGAAAGAAGAGTTTGCTGAACCTGATGCTGTCAGGCAGTGCTCATACACAGCAGAGGCAGACCGGGTCTGCTCGCAGCGCTTTGGCCTGACTTCCTAGCTCAGTGTAATGGTTCCTCTCAAAGTTCAAAGCCTCCTTTGGCCTGTCACTTGGTCATTACAAATTTCTTATCTTCCTTCATAATGCAATTACTGTAAAGCAGTCAGATACGTGGGACAACTCTCTTTGGTTCTTGTTTTCCTGTATTTAAATACAGTGCAATTTATGACGTTACATAATAAATTTGCCTAATGGGTGCTCTTATAGATGAGATCCTTTATCAGAATATTTTCAATTGTTTCAAAATTACATTCATCTAAATATTCTTTCTTATTTTCCTGTAAAGGTAGCTCTGAGGTTTTTTTTTGATCCAGCAATATCAATGTATTGCCTATTTGGATTAGTCCTTTTTAGACAGCTTTTCTGCAAACAAGGTTTCTGTTCTTGGCTATGAACTCTTGAAACTTTTACTCCTTAAGTGAGAGCTGACCTGCTACAAAGCCCAAACAATTATATTAAAATTAGTATTTCCCATGGGATTTTGACAGTATTAACTTTAAAAATATTATCACTAGGAAATACCTGGTCTGTTAATTGTCGGTTGCCATTTTTGCTTATGTATTGGATAAATAATTGTGGGTAAAATGCTGGCTGAACTTGACTGACAGTAGCAGCAAGGAGAATGGTGTAAATGTTAATCGTACCCTATTCCAGAGGCAAAATGTTGTCAAAATGTCTGATTGTTTTGCTTTTTTCTTGGTCTAAATTATTTATATTAGGATATATATTTTTCTATATAGGGATATGTCTTTTGATATCCACAGTGGCTTGACAGTTTTTTCTAAACCACAATAAACCTAATTTCTCAATTTTTCAGTAAATTACAATATTTAGGATATTAATTCCTAAATAATTAGCTTAATGCTTGTTTAGATACAAAATCATCTCTCTTGTAGCTGTTTCCTCTTACATTCCTTCAACACTAAATACTTTGAAGTTAGTATAATCATATAGTTTGAGACTTCATGGAATTAACTGATTCCTTACAGAATGTAAAAAAAATGCTTATATTTGTGTGTTTACATTAGTATCACCTTGCCTGCATACTGCAAAATGGTATGTTCCATTTTATACGTTGCCCCAGTTGAGCTGTTGTTCTAATGTATTTCTTATGCCAGACGTTCAACAAACAGAATGAAAGAAATGAGGACAACCTTGGTAGCTTCCTTTCACAGCCGAAATTCCTTAGTATATACCAATTAGATTTTATCCTGGCAGAGAAGAAGAACAATTTATTAAAAACTTCATCTGACCTTTACGTCCGTCACTATTAGTAGTGATTCTAAGGAAGAACACTTCATTAGTTTAGGAGCACGAACTAGAAACTTGTTGCAACGCAAGGCAAAAGATGATAAACATTCTTACTGCTCCACAGAGCTACTGAAGTATAAACTGATAGCGTGATTTATGGAATATTTGTACAACACAAATGAGGGGGCAAAATAAAGCAATGTACCTAGAGAACAAGCATTGGTAACCTAGCACAAGAGAAGGGATTTGAAGTTATCTGGATACCTCACAAGTCACACATCAAACCACCAAGTGAACTCCCCTCCTAGCTCCTGGTTTGTGACTGGTACAAGCTGTGCATGAAAGCAGGCTGACCAGAAAGCTGTGTCTGCAGCCCCAACACCTAGGGAAAGGAGAAGGTGATAAAGGAGTCTCCAGACCCATCACTTTCCACTGCATTGGTTTTAACACCAGTAATCACAATTCAGTGCTTTTCAAATTTCTGCCCGAATGACAGTATTCTTTTCTGCATCAGTGCCAACTTCTACAGCTCCATAGGGGTGCAGGGCCACTTCTGGATCTACCTCAGAAGGCTCAGTCCACACAGTGCAGGATATCTGATGTACTGGGCACATGACAGCCACGTTATCAGGAGAGAATGCAGTCTGGATGGGTTTTGTATAGCATAGACAGTCTGCTCCCCAGAGTGGGAGGTGTATTTTTATCAGGATGTCCAGCATTGTAGGGCCATTAAGCAAAGAGGATCAGTGGGTACTATCATAATGTCCCAACTCTTTGGTTCTACTTGTCTCATGAGCTCTTTACATGGGATTTAGACCTATTTTTACCCTTTATTTTGTCTTTCTCGTGCTTAAGTAATGCAAGTAAGCCCATCATTTGAACAAACAAAGTCTGTCAGAAGGAAATGGTCTTAATGAAGAAGCTTCAGCTGCAGAGCTGGTTGAAATGTGGTGATATGGGTGCCAGCTGGACAGTCTTCCCCTCACACAAGTCTGCAGGAACAGTCAAACTGCAAGCTCGACGTCATACATCAATGCTAAGTAACGTTCAAGAAGTGTACAAAATTATAGGTCAATAGCCTGGAGGTCTAAAGGGAAGTAAGGATTAAGAGAAGAAGGTAATAAAAGCAGTGACAGAGAATGAAAAGAAAGATTAAGAGTTGGAAAACAGTATGTATTTTGTTATTAGTCAGAAATTATTTTAGCAAAATTACTCTTCATTATTTTTGTATCTATTTATTCCTCTTTAAAAGGCATTTTCCAAATTCTCCTTCTCTCCAACTATAAAATAAATTCTGAATTGTAGGCAAGAGAAGCTGTATCACTTCCAGTAGGGTCTGGCTACACTCTGTCCCAACATACAAAAGCATCCAAACACTTTATCATCTGCTGTGTTTGAGGAGTACTACAAAGCATTGCCAGGCTCATAGAGTCAGCCAACAGTGTCCTGTCTGTGTCTGGGAAGTTTGAGTCAGTTCAGGACAGCTAAGAGGAATTGGCATGGGTTTGGCTTGTAGGTTTGTGGGAAACTGGGATGGAGAGGGGAAATTTGCTGTTGCTTGGTGGGCTTAGAGACTGAGGAAGAGGAGAGAAGCAGCTCATGAGAAATGAAGAACTAATGCAGGAGAACCATGAGTCCCCTGCACATGGGCTGCATGCTGAAGTGGGACGGGGGGGAGGGCTCTTTCCAAAAGCTGCCAAGCCATGGCCAGTCTGCAGATTTGCAGCCCCAGAGTGAGCTGATCCCCACACCAGGGCCAGCACTGCATGCGTACAATGCCCAGGGAGCAGTGTGCACGAAGTGAGGCTGGGGATGGAGTGCATCCATAGCATGTTGAAGAGGGGCACAGGCTTCAGTGAGAGTGATGGGAGGTCTGTCACATCCAGGGAGTCACGTCTGTACTGGGCTTCCACTGACAAAATGAATCTGTTTGGTTTCATGGCAGACCAGAATGAAGAGACATCCAATACCAGTGAGTCTCTGGAGTCTGCGTTGATGGCTGACACCTCAGCAGTGAAGGCCACGCAAGGCTCTGACACTGACGCAGAGGTTGAAGGTGAATGTTTTCTGACCATCTGCCCTCACTAGCCTTTCCCCTTACAGAGCTGTACCTACCAACTGGTATCTGAAATGGACACCAAGGACAAAAACCCGCCAGGGTCCTCACAACCACACCTAATCTGACAGTTGATAAAGGCAGGGGGGATGAATTTCCCTTTAAGAGCTCTCCCTTTGATGTCAAGCATCTTCCTTCAACTGCTCTGTCTACACCATGACTACTATTCCTTTGTTCCTTCTTCTCTCCTCTAGTCCTTAGTCCTTTATAACTAACATTGGCAGACCAGGCCGCTGCCTGGGCAGAAGGAGCAGCTAGCTGAAGCCAGGGATGGAACAGAGACCCAGTTTGTGCGCTCCTGATGAAACACTGCATAGCAATTGTGGTCTGTGTGCCATAGGTTTGCCACAACTGTCCTAGACTTTTCTGGTGGCTCTCCTCTTATCTCCTGCCTAGTGAAGTCAGTCCTCTAGCTAAACAAGTTTTGCACTTACTTTTGCAAGAGTAGGATTTGTCCATAATTTAGGATGAGAAATTTTTAACTTGTTATAAATGGAATTAAAATTAAAACCCATAAGAATGCAAGAAAAAAAGACTTTTCTGTTAGAGGCCACAGATTGAACTGGAAAATGGCTCTGACAAGAGGGGAATTTGTCTTGAGGTTAGATTGTTGAATGCATATAACAACACAGAGAAATATGAGCTCTAAGTATGGGGTTTGATGAAGGAATTCCAAATGACAGGTTTTTGTGGAAATGCAGCCGCCAGCTGCACTGATATGTCTCACTGCAGCTGTGTCAACAACACCCAATGGCCAAGATGAGAATGCTGGGATTCTTTCTGCTGCTTCTAAGCCAAAATGTTCTGAGCTGCCCTGGCTCTTCTGGCAGGATCAGCTGCATGCTTCAATTAAGATTTTAAAGAAAAAAAAAAAAAAAAGATGAAAATGTTTTTGCCTGATGTCAAGAATTCTCAATTACACCAAGAAAGGTTTAGTCACATTGCAGACTGGTGAGAAGATAACAGCAAGTCACTGGATGCCAAATGGAGAAGCAAGGAGGATACCATTAACTCCCGGACATCTGGGATAAAGGGAGGAGGAGAACCAGGGGACAGTAACCCTTTAAGTAAAACCCTTCTATTGTTGCAGTGTTACTTAACTTTATTAAGTGACTTAATTTATTTAAAAGAGGAGGGAGGACACTGAATGCACCACTCATCAATACACTTTTTTTTCTGTAGATCGTGAGAAGGCCTTTGCAGGCGTTACAGGCGCAGAGCTGTACTTGGAAGCATGCAGGCTGATGGAGGTGGTGCCTGTCTCATACTTTATTCAGAACTTGGCCAAGACTTATATAAACCTGAACCATCATGGTCTAGGACCCAAAGGTGTCAAAGCCATTGCTATTGCTCTGGTGGTGAGTAGCCAGTAAGAGTGGGGCCACTGTTCTGAAGAACAATAGGCCTCTCTCAGGCGTGGAAGCCATCACTGAGTACACAGCATGGGAGAAAAAGTCATATATCTTCCCCACAGGAGCTCTGAACATCCCTAATGTTTCTAATCCCCTGCAAAGGAAGGTCTTCTGTGGCAACTGATGGCCTTTGCTGGAGTTACCCCCAAGAGCAAACTGATGCTTTTCCATGGGACACAAGTCTCCAGTGTTCCTAACCCCTGCAGGGCCACAGGTGGGGCTGGTGGGATTGGCATCCCCTACGCGGGGTCCTGCACAGGGATGTGCTACACTCACCAATGGACAAGCCCAGGATGCCTGAATTGAAGCTGGGATCTGAACCTCGTCTCCAGGTTGTCAGAAAGCAATGCAAAGTCTTACCCACTCAAAAGCTCTCCAAAAAGGCATCTCTTTTGTATGCCAGTTCCCATTGCTGTGACTCTGTCACGTCCCCTGATCACTGTCCTGCTCAGGACCTGCAATGCTTTCAGAGGTGTGGAGGAAATGCCCAGTGTCTGTTGAACTGAGGAAACTATTCCCTTCATTAACTTTTCAACAGATTTTTGTGTGTCTTTGTTTACCTTTGTGTCTTCCCAGTCCAACGCAACCGTCACTCATCTAGAGTTGGAAGACAACTGCATTCTGGGAGAGGGAGCCATATGCATAGCAGAGATGCTAAAAGAGAATTCCTCCCTTCAAGAACTGGTACCCAATGTGATGCAGTTTGTAGCCAAAATTATTGCTCACCAAGTTCAGTCATCTGAAAGAAAACCAATTCAATGCCATTATGATTTTAACCAAGTAACTGTTGCTCCCATGCAAAAATATTCACATTCTGAAAGTCATGGTATTTTATGCTGCTTTACTTTTTAAAAGTGCAAGCTTCTGAAAAGCAGAACTGTGCATTTGATGGCAGTCTGGTGAGTCTGGAACTGTTCCCTTCACTAGCAGATGTGACAATAATTACCATAACTAAGTCTTTCTAGTTTATGCTTAGCCAATGGAAAAAATGTTTTGGTCAGGAATTTTCCTTCTCCAACATGGGGAAACTTTTCTAAATAGATTAAGGGAATAATGCAAAACTGGTAGGAATGATCCTTCAATCTGAAACTGGGGTATACAAAATGCATTTTGATAGGCTATGGGACCTACATACTGGAAGTGCTACACTGGAAGAAAATATTCTTGGCCAAATGCCTCTTGCTTCACTGAAGACAAAAACCCATGTGAAACTCATGGCTGTAGGGCTTTATTCCCGTTTGGAAGGATGCAGGGTTAAACACACTTTATAGCTCACATGTTCATTCCTGTCTGGCTGACGTTTCTCGTATTGCTTGTCTTGCATTATTCCCTTGATATCTTGGGCATTAAGAAGACAATACAGCTAATTCGTTCTTTGGACTCATCCTTCTTATCCTCCGTTCTTTCTTTCCAGAACATCTCCAATAACCATCTAGGCACAGCCGGAGCTGAAGCCATTGCCAGTTTGCTTTTGGATAATATGTCCTACCTCCATGCTCTTCAGCTCTCAGGTGGGCTGTATACACCCACACAGTGAGGGCAGTGGAAGTGAAACAACATGTTTCATTCCAGTCTCTCATCCTGAGAATATTAGTGAGACCATGGGCAAAATCAATCTCTCAGCTATGTCTCTGATGAGAACCCAGAGTAATAGTGGAAACCTAGATTTATAGTGATATGATTAAATATTTGGCCTGCTCAACCTCCAGCACCTCTGAAAACCAGTCTCTTATGAGGAACTTACTTAGATAATTGCTGGAGTGTCTCCCACATCTTGGGGTAATTCTACTCTATGGAGCAAAATGGAATAGTGACTAACTTCTTATAGCCTGATATAGGACATGATTAACTGGAGGTTCCACCTAAAAGCACAGCAGCTGCAGACCCCAGCAAAGCACCAGGGGAGAAATCAGGACACTGTTAACATAGTTTTCCCCCCCAGGAAACAACTTTGGAGAGGAGGCTGCGTCATACTTTGCTGAGGCATTAATGGTGAGTTACCTGAAATCCAAGGTCATTTGCAGCCCTGGCTGTATAATAGACTCTCCTCATCCTGAAGCTGCTACTCACTTGTCATGACTTCACTTGGCAATGCCCATATGATTTCTTGGCATAATTCCACTAAGTGCCTCTCGCTTACTTCAGAAATGAGAGAGGCTGGGAGGATACAGAGCAGGACAGACTGCCTTAACATTTTCTCAGGAAATTTTCTCAGGTGTGAGTCTGGCTGAGAAACAAACCTTCAGGACTGTGTAACAGAACAACAGAACGACATCTGGGTGACAAAAAATTTTAAAGAAGCATAAATAATCCAACTTCATATCATTTTGCAATTCTCCAGTAAAAATAAGACACTTCTTTGGTTAGCTCCTGTCTCAAAGCCTCTACATCATTTGGCACCACCAGAAGCTGCCCTGAAGCAAGGCTTTGACCTGATATCAGAAAGTGCTTTTGGTCAGGGTACAATGGTAGGAGTGAAACAGGGGCAGGAACAGAATTGCAGGATGTGTTGCAGGCCAGACATAAGATGTGTGAGGGAAGTTTGCACAACACATTGCTTTTGCTGTTTTGGGAAAGATGATCACTGTGATGTTATATGCCTGACAAAGCTTTGTTTTGGGACAGGCAGTGCTGTAATCTCTGATTTTGCTGATGATCCCCCATGCTGTGAATATTTCAATGTGTCTGGTATCCCTCTGTTTCATACTCATGTGGAAGCCTTGGCATGGCAGCAGGTTGCAGCTGGCTGGAAGATTCTCATTGCTCACATTTGTCTTTCTGCAGGGCAATTACCGAGTGAAGGAGCTGGATCTCAGCCACAATGAGTTCAATGAGAAGGGAGGACAGCTCCTGGGACAGATGCTTGGTAACTTAATTTATTATCCTTGCAAAGCCAGGGGGAGTACAGGCACTGGGGGACTTGATGGCGTCAGCACAGTGAACATGTATTTCCTTCTCCAGCAAAAATGCTCCATGACCTGGTGGGCAGTACAAAAGACAGGGTGCCCAGATTTAGAGCTCCCTGCCTGATCCACAGGCTCACCCTCATCACCGCAGGTGACTCTAGAAACTATGACTGATGTATGAGAACAGAAATGCAGTCTGTGTCAGAGGGAAGGGAGCTGAAAGAGAAGTCCCTCAGGGAGTATAAAGCAGAAAATTGCATTTTACTGAAATCTAATAGAATCAGAACTGTTGTTTGTTTTAAGCTTTTGATTACAAAGTTCAGGAGGGATATCAATTTTTATTAAGTAGCCCAAACCCTAATGGTTTGAGCCATTGCACAGCAAGCAGCAAGGGAAACAGATTAGGAAGAAATAAAATCAAGCTGCCTAATTTATCTGTTTAGACAAAGTGAGATCCAGAGTTGTGCTAGTAGTCCTGAAGAGGGAAAGTAAACAAAACTGTTAGTCTTTCAGTAATCTCGGGTGCTATTAGTGCACTGGGAAAGACTTGCATGATTATCTGATGGCTCTTCTTCTCTCAGTATGTCCAAGACGCCTGCTACCATAATAGCCACAAGCGTGTGCTGTGAGCATCCAGTGTTCCTCGGGCATTTCAGTAACACCATGTCTTCAGTTTAATTAACGCTTTCCTTCTCCTGGTTCAGTATTTCCACTGATATGTATTTCTTTCTAATTACAGTCCATGTCTTTAAAAGACAGATCAATTAAAAACTGCAGTGATGACAAGGCACTGTGTCCCTGCCTTGGACAAGCCTGCAGACAACACAGAGATCAGTACTAAAACTTGTGACCTTCCTAGCCCAGAAAAATCCCCCTCCAAAATTAAAGGTCTTACAGCTCTTCTCTCCTTCCAGATCACTTGAGGCAGGAGCAGCAGAAATTACTGCAGAATCTGTTAGTTTTCTGTTTCTTAAAGGAATATTTTAAAGTCAGCTAAACTCACCATCTGCCTCCATCCAACCTCCCATCCATGGGAAATTCTCTCTGTGAACGACAAGCAAGTGTTGGCAGCAAGTCCTACCTACCCCTCCCAGTGTCACAGAACACACACATGAATTCACACATACTCTGCTTGAAGTAGAACTTACACCATGAGGTGTTCTATGCATGTGAACTGGCACTGGCACATATACAGCTGGGCACAGCTACCATATGAAGATTAATTCCTCTCTTCTGCTAATCAAACATACGCAGAGTGAGTGCTGATATTTTAGATGTGGCAAGGAGAATCCAGACATTTTTCACAGTGAGAAACACAGACAGTGTCTATTAATATAAGAAATCCTCCCTCTCCCTAGCTTCCTCCTTCACAACTTATTATTTGATTAAGCCAGAAAAAAAACTGTGTTCCCTTTCTGCTTGTTATCAGCAGCCCATTCTCTGTTCTTTGGGTGCTGTGGACAGCAAAGACTCTGTAGGTACAGGTTCCTCCTACTGCAAACAATGAAGGCTGTTGCTGAACCCCCAGCAAAATTTCTCTTAGTCCCTAAGTGGGTCAGCAGCTGTGTCCAGACCACGTTCATGTGGTGACATCTCAGTTTCTCTCTCCTAGCCAGCAACGCAACACTGGAGATTCTGGACCTGAGCTGGAATCACCTGAGGAGGAAGGGGACAGTAGCACTGGGCACAGGTCTCAGGGTAGGAACACCCCTGTGTTGTGATACCCTTCACAGTGATTATTACCCGGAGCTGGTTGAAACACTGATTGGGAACTCACTTCCCTGAGGTCACACACCTGCCTGGGTGTGACTTGAGGGATGTTCCTGTCTCAGCCAGGCAAGAAAGGGTAGAGTTGTAAAGAAGATGGTCATGCAATAGCTAAGATCTCTCCTCTCTCCCTGCAGGACAATGGTGCGCTGAAAATACTCAACCTTTCTTGGAATGGCATTGGCAACGAGGGAGCACTAGCCCTAGGAGAAGCTCTCAGAGCCAATGATGTGCTGGTTCACCTTGACATCAGCAACAACCAGATTAACAACGAGGGAGCCAAGAAGCTCTGTAGGGGCCTTGAAGTCAATGGAAAACTCAAAATCCTGAAGGTAAAATAAAGCCCAGGCAGGGCTGGAGGAATAAACGGAGGGAACAGAAAGATCTGAGTCAGGAGGGACAGAAGACAGAGGTGAGCTGTCTGAGCCAGAACTAGAGAAAATGAGTATATCTCTGTGTTGAAAGTAAGCAGAGTGGAAGGAAATCCTATCCCATTAATTTCTTCCAGAGCCACTAAATTGCACTGTTCCCTCAAAATATCCCCTGGGGACTGGATTAGCATAACCCCACATCCATTATCACCCCAAAGTGGTTGACTGTTGTCACGTCTAGTCTCAGTCAAGTGAGAACCTAGGCATTCAGCATGTCAAGCAGAGAGTCTTCATATACACATAAAATGTAATTGTGAAGGTACCTATGTACACGTAATATGCAGTTCACACTGAAGTTTGCAAGTGGGCAAGAGTGTGCATTTCTCAGTGTGTTAATGATCTGCTAAAAATGTATTCAAACACAGGATAAACTGTCATTGCCACGTCAGGGCAATGCCACAGCACTACCCAAAGGAGAGGAGTATTATCAAGTCCTGCAAAAAGAAAGGCAAAACTGCCTTTTAGTAATCTAGGGATCAATAATCCTGGGAAGGGCAAAACTGAATGACCAGCCAAGCTGGCTTCAGAGGTTAAGGGTTGAGAGTTAACATGTCTTCTCAGTCTAAGATCACTCTCTAGGAACCCAGCTCAGAAAAGCCAGCTTGCTTATGAGCTGCATTCTCAGCTAGTTCTAACGTCACCATCCTGAGGGTCTGCAAATGGCAGTATGGCGGCTGAGGGGCATCTCTAAAGCTGTTCATCTAGTTCTGTCTTTGGACACCCCTGTCCTTCTAAATCACTGCAACCACACTAGTCTTTGGGACTGCTCTTTTAGATTATGTAAATAAATGTGTCTGTTTGCCTTGCTCTTAACCTGGCTTGAGGTACGGGCACCAGATTGCACCAAGGTGTTCCTCTCTCTGTGTAGCTGCAGATTGTCTTAGGAGCTAATAACACAAAGGACTTAAAGGAGGACATCTTCTCTGACCAGCGTTAACCAAGAAAGTTTTCTTTCAAATAGTGGGACTGGGGAGTGCACATGAAGTCCAAGGCGGGGGAGAGGTGATGTTCACACACTAAGAGATGCACATGGCAATGCCAACCCCATAACGCCAGACAGCTAGACCTTGTAGGCCAGAGGCAGACGATCAGCTTGAGCTCTGACCTGCTGTGCTGCCAAGAGGAGCCAAGGGTATGGGAAATGTCCATCCAGAGGGACTCTACTAGCAAGCACACATTCAAATGCAGTCCATTGCCTCAGCCTCTCCCCACCACATGACTGAACATGATCCACATTAGACTCCTGAGTGACAGATGTAAGGGACCTGATATGTGGAATTTCACACAAGGAGAGAGGCTGAGAAGGCAGTTCTCAGTTGCATTGCAGAGTTTTGTGGGACAGAGACAAGAGATGGTGAGATAACAGACAAACCCATTGAAAGGGACCACAGTTATTCTACAGCCCTGCTGAAGAATGGGAAGAAAGGGTCATCCTTGAAGTTATAGCATGCCTTCTGCCAGGGCATGAAATCCTCATTCTCATCATGTCTGAATCTATGTCTCTTCTTCCACAGATGGCCAATAATCCCCTGACTGTGGAAGGTGCCACTGCACTGGTAAAATCTGTCAGAAAGAACTCCAACTCCATGATGGAGGAGATCAACATCTCAGTAAGAGCTTGCATGCTGGAAAGCCTCCAGGACCATACACTTTATATTTTCAGGAACTGGGTGGATCACAGAGCTCTCCCCTTCAAAAGCTGTTATTAGACTTGCTGTTTGTTTCATTTATACACAGCCATTAACAAAAAGAGGCTACTATTTGCCAGCCCTTCTAGAAGCCATGTGTAAATTACAGGACTTTGGTCTAGCTCTGGGGAGGGGTGCCTATAGTATTACCACATTTCACTCCCTTACATTTTGCAATAGCAGAACAAGAACAAGGAGTGAATTCCCACTGGAGGATGAATTCTCTTCATCCCCTGAGCTGTCTCCCTCCAGGGTAGCCTAAGATGCCAGATACCATGAAGTGCTTTGATGCCCTGTCAAGATGTATCAGATGGATGCTTCAAGGCATTGAAAGCAAAGCAATCTTAGTTAAAAAAAAAATAAAAATTAAAAGACTGATGTGGAAGGAAAAAAAAAATCAGAGGCCATATCTTAGTATGCTATTCTGTAGCAAGTTGGGAGCATGACACATATTGTTGTAACTCATGTGCTGCTTCTAAAATGGGAGACCTAGAAATGCTTCTGAGCTCCTGAGTGAGGGCAAGGGTTGCATTGCAGACCAACACTGCGGAGAGACATGGGCACACATCAGCCTGCTCCTGGTCTTCTCATCCATGCTTTGGTGCTTCATGGGAGCAGGGGTCTCAGGGCCCTCCATCGACTTTTGGGAGCACCACAATTAAAGGAAAGAGCATTTTGACAAAGATTAGGTTTGAGACTTGGTGCATAAATAATATGTCCACATTTGAAACAAGCTTTAAAAAAAAGTTTATGGGCAGTTTTAGAGACTCACAAAATGGGTTGTATCTGAGTTATGTCTGCCATGTGTATCTTTGTCCTATGGTTACTATACTAAAGAAACTAAAACAAAGCAGAATAAATAATATTCGTCTATGGCCGTTTCTGAGAGTATTGAGGGCTTTCAACAGAGATCATCTGAAGAACAGGCATTCCTCTAGGGCAGACAATTTTTCCTGCATAAATTAAGATGAAAGAGAATTATTTGCTAAGTCTGCAAGGAGTCAGGCCTCATTCTGCAAAGGAAAACTAAAATGAACTGTGTGGGGATAAAGGACTGCATTACAGATGGAGATGATTCTGCTAGTTTTATTACTAATAACCTAAGCAATTCATAAACTTGGAAAGAGTAATATATTTTAAATATATTCTGAGAAATTAAAGAAATTAATGAAATGCATTTATTTAAAAGGAGGTACTTGAGAAATTTTGAGGCAAGGAGTTAATTAACATTAAGAATCTTCAACCTAAATCTCACTATGCATTTTTTCTTTTTAGGGTTAATAGATGCTCTCTTCACCCTTCAAAAAGTCTAGATTACCTGACATTTCACAAGATAAATGGTCAATGGCATAAATTTACAATGACATTTCAGTATCCCAATCAAATGTTTGTAGGTAAACATCTTATCTGCCTGACAGACTTCATTCCACCTGTGCTGTAAGGAGTCTTGCATTTCAATTCAGAGTATTTGCAAATATACAGCTCCAAAGATCTTACTCTGTCTTAAACCTTTAAGAAACTAGGGAAGGTTTTTATCTTTTATAGGAAACTAAAGGGAAGACATAAACAAAAGACTCTTCTGCCCCTTTTCACAGTGATAAATGTTTATCTTGACTTTTAAAAACTGAATAATTAGTGTAAGAGGACTTTTGAATAAGGATCATATCTAGAAACCTTTGCGTGGGTTTGACAGCACTAGCAAAGGTGAAGCAATAGAAAGGCATATTTTTAATAACAGTTTATTACTTCTGACAACATTTCTAAGCATGACTGTTCCCCACATTCTTTTAATGATCTACTCTTTATAGGGTTTCAACTTGCAGATACTGACTATCAAACTTTTTGTAGAAGTCATGAATCAAAATAGCCAGCATACGCCCACCCGCACCATCACAGTACAAAAGAAAATGCCATCGCTTTTCAGCTGTCCGCATGTTGTTCTTCTGGACCATGAACTGACCATGTCAAACATGCAGAAATGCACAAGCTGACTCCCTCCAGGTGCCACCTGACCCCACAAGGACAGAAAACAGAAGCCTTGATGAATTTCCTGAACTGCCTTGAAATTTCCAACAATTAAATATATAACATAATACATTGACAACTCCCCTGTCATCATGGGTATGAACAAAATCATAATCATGTTTTTAAAAGATCAATCAAGGCAAAGGCAAATTTAGAAGAATAAATTAAAGTGACATCAATAATACTTGCACTGATAGCTTACTTTCTAATATCCCAAAACCTTAAATCAGGACACTGTGCTGCTGCCCATTCTGTAAGTGCCAAAACAGAAAACTCACAGTGCGAGGTCTGAAATGCTGCGCTGTCACTACCCTGTTTGAAATTCCTAGGAAAAAACAAATGCCACATCTTGTACTGCTGACTGGAACTTCCTATTATGGTTACACAATGAAACAGAGCTTTACCAGAAGTTTCTTTCATCTGGAGACATCCAGACCCTTCCCAGATAGGTGCATCTTTCTTGTCTGGGCTATAAAGCTACATTGCTGGAGATACTAATTCTTTTAGGCCTTGGATGTTTGGGGTCTTTTTTCATTTTTGCAGAACTCTATGGCACATTTTGGCCATTAACTGTTCAACTTGCAGTCTGCATCTTAACCAAATGGAGAGGAGACCCATCTAGAACTCTCTCAAGGGTGAACATGAATCACTTGAATCACCTAACATAAGAGGTCTTCAGTGCAGACATTTACCTGATGAACATCTACCTTGCATTAAGCTGATTTCTACATAAATTTGTAGACACTTTTCTGTCTGAGACATGGAAAAAGAGAAAGAAGAACACTTATTTAGTTGAGCCTCCATGGGATTACTGAAAGTGAAGAGCAGAGATAGGAGAAAACACCACCCTTAGGAGAGAATGGTTAATGTTTACTTTAGATGGATTTGTGAATACAAATAAGTCTTTGTAGTTTGGGTGTCCATGTTGACTGCACTCTCCTTCCTCCTATGTACCAGAATGTGTTGGTGAATGAAACTTTCATCAAGTTGCTGGATTTGGTGTGTCAAACACGTCCTGAACTAGAAGTCATCTATGGTGAGGTCGAAGGATGTATCGCCAAAATCTCCAAGCAGCATCCAAATCCCATGAAAGTGATTCGGGTGAGCTACTGAATTTGGGTCCATAGCTCCCCTGTACACAGTACACATGCTCCAAGCACTTGGAGGCATGGAGGTTGGAAGGGGTAAGCTTTCTTCCAAGTGGGAAATTCCATCAAGTTTCTTCAGAAAAGTATATTCACAAAGACTGTCACAATATTCACATATCTCAGTCCACACAGACTGACTAAGCAAATCCTTTGATTTTCAGAAGAAGCTAATGCCTTGGAATCTGAGAGCACTGGAGGAAAAAAAGAATCTTAATGGATGTTCACTAGCTGTGTAAAACAAACTGATTGATTTCAGGTCTGATCCAAATGAGTGTCCATCCGCATCACAAGCCCACTGCAATAGCTGGCTTTCATAGAACCCATCACTGACAGTTGTGCTTTAGCATCAAAATTAATGTGCTTCATAAAAGTAGGATATGGTACTACAAGCAAATACTGTCCTAAATTACTTAGCCTTTCAAGGTCTGTAATTTCTATGGATAGCAGTAGATGGTGCTGTCCTCCTTGCTGGAAGGCAACGCAAGTACTTGAGCATTGCTGAGTTTAACACTTTTGCACTACCAACTTCACTGCGTTTCTTAGCTGCTGTGCAGATTTTGAGCTAATTGGGTGACATGCTGCTGTAGATATGGATTCAGATGAACTTCAGCAAAAGCTTGGGCTGTTAGCTCACATCAAACAGTGCTGCTGTGCTTCACAGCTAGTGATGCTCACACTAGCATGCTTTGCAGTTTTTAACAGCCATTTTGGTACTCAGATGTGTCCTCATTCAAACAGACAGGAATTCAGAGAAGAGCAACCAAAGTGATCAGAGATCTGGGGGAGAGGACTGTCTCTGGCTTAGACAGCCTAGCCAGGCAGTGGCTGCTGCGATGAGACCCAAATAACCATATGCAATTATCAGAAGAAACAGGTTTACTACTGAGTCCAGTTTCAAGGCAGCGGGAAAAATAGGTATAACTGAGAAGTATGGGATTAACCTGAACAAAAGGATTTTTTTCTGACAATAGGGTGGCTGCACAAAAGTTAAGGACTCTCACATCTCAGTGATGGGCTGAGTAAAGGCAGGCTGACAGATGGAAGAATAAGGGGAGAGCTGGAGACAGGTATCAGTGGTTGTTTCATGGTTATTCCCATGTTTTATCTCTGCTTCTCTTAGAGCTATTTGAAAGAGCACAACCTACAACTCTGGGACTTTTTTAGGCGTATTGACAAGGATGGAAACATGAAGATCCCTGTGGCAGCCTTCCGGAGAGCCATGATGCAGGTGTGCCTCTGCCAACAGAAATGCTGCGACGTCTGATAGATACTGCAGATGGCATCAATGATAATGGATCAACTTTAGAGTATCACAGAGGTCTGCTGTTTGTATAGAGTATACAGGATCTTGATAGATGTCTTACTGCTACGGGAAAGTGAAAAAGAGGCATTTAAACCCATGCCTCTACATGTGGAGTAGACAGTTCTCTTCCTGACAAAACCACCATCGTGCTTGGGATCAGCAGCAACGGTCAGACAGCCATGATTCTCTTTTACAAAAAATGCAAAAAAAAAAAAATTTAATCCTAAAAGAGTGAAATTGCCTCCCCACCACCACTCTGGATTTTTTCCATCCCTTCCTCCATGCACCAGGCCATCTGTTCAACTATTAAAAGATGGCCAGGCCCCAGTCTTTTCTGGAGGATTTTTCTGCTTAAAAATACCCAAGTTTGCTAGCATTTCTTTTCTCCTCTTAGCAATCAAGCATCCCACTGGATCGAGTCCAAATTGGGGAACTAGTGCGCAAGCTAGACCGGAATCGGACAGGGGTCGTGGATTATAGGTGAGTGAGTGACTCCACTTGCTGCCCTGACTTGTTTTTCCTTTTTTTAATTTGGCTCAGCACCAAATAAATATAATGTTATTTACCTTAGGAGCTAAAGGGACAAATGGTTTTGGCCAGTCCCTTACTTACCTAAGTAAAAGGTAGATGAAAAAAACACCTTGCATGCTTAGGAACTCTGTTGAGTCAAATTATAAGTCAATCATATTTTTCAGTTTTATAATCTTGCTGTGAGAGTGCAGGGATCTCAAAGCCGAATGGCATTTTCATTCATTCTCATAAGCCTGTGTGAGAAGCATCATCTCAACACTGTCCTCCCCCTGAAGCCAGTGTAAGATTAGCAAAGACAGCGTATCTGTGCCTTCAGACCTTCTTCTCCATCCTCAGAGACTCTCGGGTTTTTTCCTTCTCTCTGATCCTTCTTCTTAGGAGACCTATTTTTCCCTGGAAACCTGCCTTCAAACTACAGAAATTTTCATTCTCTTGAAAATGCCTCTTCCTTAGTGCCTGTAGCAATCATGTCCAAGTTCTGAGCCTGAGTAGTCAGCAGCAAACTCCTTGGAGGCTGTCAGTCACTGCAGGCTAAACTGCTTGTCATTGGACCCAAAACTCCCCCTAGTTCTGACATGTGACTCCTTAGCTGAAAGCCCTATTAATCATGCCCAAATATTCCCATCCTTCAGCACATACTGATGGGTTTAAATATATGCTGTAGTCTAGTTTTAAGGCTAGAAGCAATGGGTCAGTTTTGCAAATCTCTTCCCCTCTTAGCCTTCCAATGTTTTCAAAGAAAAGTGAATTACTTTGTTAGGGTCGGTCTCTATTCCTTCACATACATCGGTGCCATACTAAAAGCATCCATGCTCAGATGCTAGATGGGCCTTAACCTGGTTAATCTTGAATCAGAAGTTACATGCAGTTCCCCAGTACTTTAGGCATAATTACAGAACTGTGGTTAAGCAGTAAGCAGATTAGGAACTGTTAAAACCCGATGGCCAGCAAAGACTTCATCTGGTGCCATTAATGTGGCTCAGCTGATATGTGGCAAAAAATAAACAGAGATCTCTACTCCTTATCTAGCTTCTTAATGCATTTGAGCACTGTAGCATGTGTGGTAGGGGTAATATTCACCTTGTAGACGAGTCAGAAGAGTTGTGACCTTTGCTGTCCTTACTGTTCCCACCTTGGGCTGTTTCCTCAAGGTCCTCTCACCAGCTTTAAGATACCTGACAGGGAAGGTGCACTTTACTAGACTAATACTGGTTCACCTCCTTCTTTTCAATCAGTCACTTAAGAGAGCAGAAGCCAGCACAGAAGCCTGTGGAACGGGAAATCAAGGAGGAAGAGAAGAAAGAGTCATAAAAGCGAAGCAAGGAGGCAGGCACACAATGGAAGACTGTATGAGAAACACTGGAAGAAAGCTCAGAGTGGCCCTGGGCTTGGGGAGGCCCAACACTGGGGAGCTCTGATAGTCTAAGTTATTCAGTGTAGAAATAAAGTTGCTGTTCCACTACACAGCAGGTCCCTATTCAGTCCAGTCCTTTTGGTTAAGGAAAGATTGATCCTTTGGACATTGTTACCAAATACATCGCTCTGTATGCTGACAATGCTGAACTTATTTGCAAAGACAGAGACAAAAATTGGGAATTGGGAAACTAAGACACTCATACATTGTTATTATGCCCTTTTGAGGGAGAGGACGTGGACAAAGACTTGAAGCAAGTGCCCTGTGGACACCCCCTATCAGACTTAGCAGTTCTGACACAGGGACCTTTGCAAGAGGAGAAAATTTAAATTCATGAGAAACTACAGGTCATGTTGCTTAAAATGTTATGGGTAATAGGAATTTTATTTAATATCTCCACGAGAAAAAGTATGCTAGAAGAATGGAAGCCATAACAGATTTTAAATGGCTTAGACACTGAACTTTTTTAAAACCAACATTAAAAAATATTTCATCAACTCTTAAGAAGTAAGGAAAACCTTGCACATATTAATATTTGTAAATAAATAAAATTTAGAAAATGTAAATATGAGATCCACAGGAAGTACATTTTGCCATGCAAGCAGCTACCAACATAGACCATACACCAAGAACTTTGGCAAATGGGAAATGCTGGCCACTTTGGGAAGACCTGCCTTCAGTGGAAATTAAAAGAAGCAGATAGTTACCATCTGGAAACTCTCTCTTTTCCATCAGAATTCCCTCATGGAAGAAAATCTTTGAATTAGAGTTCAGGTGGCTCCAGTGCCTCATCAGAGGTCAACATGACTGTTAACACGATGGTGTTGGTATAACTGCTTGCTAGTTATTCTCAATCCCTGACTGACTGCTAGGCTTTACCTCATTACCCCAGCAGGTCTGTGCCCTCTGATGTCTGTGACTCTTCCGGAATTTACTTGTGCCCCCTTCACATAGGGAGTATGTGGGATTTGAGATGAAGAATCAGAACAGCAGAGAGCATTTGAGATGTTGGGTAGTTTGCACGTGAGGGGCATAACACTGTGGGGTTTTCTGTTCTCTGTTCCTTTCCTAATCATTCCTAAAATGTAATTAGCTTTCCTTGACTGTTCCTAAGCACCGAGGTATGTTTTCATAGAAGTGTACACCAAACCTGCGAGATCTTACTCCAGAATACCAAGGCTCGGGGGGGAAAGGCGTCCATGCCCACCATTGTACAATTCCAGCTCACTGACTCCTACGAAAGACCCACTAACACAGGAGTCCCGCGAGAGGACCGGACACTGCAGCAGCGAGGCTC